TATCATATGACCTCACTGATATGAGGAATTCTTAATCTCAGGAAACAAACTGAGGGTTGCTGGAGTGGTGGGGGGTGGGAGGAATGGGGTGGCTCGGTGATAGATATTGGGGAGGGTATGTGCTGTGGTGAGCGCCGTGAATTGTGCAAGACTGTTGAATCACAGATCTGTACTTCTGAAACAAATAATGCAACATATGTTAAGAAAAAAGAAATAGAAGAAGATAGCAGGAGGGGAAGAATGAAGGGGAGTAAGTCAGACGGGGAGACGAACCATGAGAGACGATGGACTCTGAAAAACAAACTGAGGGTTTTAGAGGGGAGGAGGGTAGGGGGATGGGTTAGCCTCGTGATAGGTATTAAAGAGGGCACATTCTGCGTGGAGCACTGGGTGTTATGCCCAAACAATGAATCGTGGAACACTACATCAAATACTAATGATGTAATATATGGTGATTAACATAACAATAAAAAATTAAAAAAAGAAATCAAAAATGAAAGTAATCCTTAGATTAGATCAAATAGAAAAAAATACATTTAAAAAAGGAGTCACTAGAAAAACAAGGCCCTCAAAGAGAGAGAACAGTAGTACCCATTACTGATTTATGAAGAGAAAAATATCCACTGCAACTCAGACAGCCTAGAGTAGATCACCTTCAAGAGCAAACTGTTAATTACTGGCATAAAGGGACGATAGAGACCATAATGATGCCCTATTCTCTGCCTTAGCTTGGGGGAGAATCTTGACAGTATGTAGGATGCAAGGGATTATAATGGCAGGTACTTAAAGTAGCATTAGCAGGTCCTTTTAGATGCCTTAATGCTAGAAAGACCTGGAAGCTGTGGGAAGGACACAGGACTGGCCTTTGGGCAGCACTGTCCAGAAACCTATTTAATCCCAGGGTTGGGCAGCTCTCCCTTTATTTCCCTTCCTTCTCCTTTCCGGAATGTGGTCTGGCGATGGATGATGGGGTCTTATGTCAGAAGAGTGCCAAGGCTGTAAAGGATCGTATTCTTTCTCTATATTAACAGTGCATAAGGAGATCTTTCTTGCCTGCTTCTAAAAGAACAAAAAATGGCAATGAAAATAATTCTAAACTAAAAGAAACTTATCTTCATTCCATCACCTTAAAAACACAACTTTAGTTCCACATGGAGCTTTTTCATGATTAGTATGCACTGACTATACAATGAGTAATTCAGGTTTCCCATACAAATCTAATTTATATATTTGGCATATATAAGTAGATATATATAATAATGGATTACAAGTTGTTTACCAGCTAGAAAGTCTCATAAAAAATAGCAGTTTATATTGTTTTAAGGGAATTAAAAATGCATACAGCTTAATGCTGTTCATCTTCTGATAGATAAAAATGCATTTCCTATATTATTAATGGAAAGGCAATAATATTTGCAGTCTACCTACTATTACCTGCCTATTAGAAACCTGCCCTCTTGGACTCAGGGCCCCACTTATCATGGACCATAAAAGCTACAACCTTAAATATTTAAGTGTGAACCAGGTCGGTATTCCTTTCAAGATTCAACTCTTAAGGAATAACTCTATAAAATGCAGACCCAAAACAGCTTTGAGGGTAAACTGATAAGAAGTAAAGAGTTGGAGTAATGTAACCAAATACCTTTGATTGGCTCTATTCATCAGCAATTTCTAACAAAAGAAAACAATAAGACAAACTCCAAAGGACTATGCAGTTTTATAACTCTCTCCTTTCTGTATTAAAGCCAAGACACAACCAGATTTCATTTTATAAACTCCTACACTCTTCTTAGATGATTCTCAAATAAGTCATCCTATTTACACTTCTATGTACAGTTATCAATCTTTCACATTATTCCATTAATGTTCTTGGAGCTACTTGGTGAACTTACTGTTACCAGTGTAACTTAAGTTTATTTGCCCTACATTTCTACCTATATCATTAGTGTTCTCCATTGTAAAGAAACGAAGAATGTTAAATTCATAACCATATACAAGGCTCAAGCCTCAAAGCTAAGGGCTTCACACACACACACACACACACACGCATGCACACGCACACGCACACATGCACACGGGCCGAGAGGGAGAGAGAAAGAGAAAGAGTAAGAGACAGAAAAAAGAGAGAAAGGGAGGGACTTGTTTGGTGGGTATTAAAAAGTCCAAGGTCATTCTTAAAGATTCTGCGAACTAAAAGTTTACATATTCTTATTTTAAAATACATATTAATATGTCTTAGCTCTCTCTTACTTATGCAAATAAATAAACAACTTTCTCATACTGCTTTAGAAACACAAGATATCTTTCTCATTGATGATGGTACCTTCATGAATGTGGTTTTACTGTATTAACAAACCAATGTACACATTATTACTATATTTCAAGTAAGAAAATAGCTTGTTTATGTGTTTACATAAATAAACTCTCAAGTGAAAACTATATGTATCTTCACATTGGTAACTTAAATATTTAAGAGCTATAGGCTGAAAATTATAATGTCATAAGTTTGATTACTTTTCTGATTCCTACTGACTGACTTTCCTACAATTCAGTGTTCTAAATGCATTTCCAGTGTGCTTTTTAAGTGATATATAAATAAATAAATATATATATATATATACAGACAAACACATACACACATACACACACACACGCGTAGAGAGACAAAATATTTTTCCATGTGAACTGTTTACTCAGTTGCTATTAACACACAATCTTCCCCCAAATCTTCTACTTTCAAAGTTAGAAAGTATCATACGGACTATGGACTCTGAGAAACAAACTGAGGGTTCTAGAGGGGAGAGGGGTGGGGGGATGGGTTAGCCTGGTGATGGGTATTAAAGAGGGCACGTACTGAATGGAGCACTGGGTGTTATACACAAACAATGAATCATGGAACACTACATCAAAAACTAATGACGTCACATATGATGATTAACATAACATAATAAAAAAAAAAGTATCATACGTCCAATACTACCAGAAATTAGCCAAGGATCACTCATTTCTTTTGTCATAGTGGTGCCATTTACTTAAAAATACATCTTTCCTATGGAAATTTAGATTTAAAAATATACCACACATACATGTATAATTTACATATATACATGAACAAAAATTTGGGGAAGAGCTGTGCTAACCAAAGTTAAAAACATATTTCTTTGATATATGCTATTTCAAAGGATTTTGACTATGCAGGAGTTGCATAGAGTATGCAGCATTTCCAATTTGAAAGCAGATTCTTTTTTCTTTTTTGGACCAATAAGTCACTGGTGTTCTCTTGGAACAGTCTTATTAAGAACTTCCCTTAATCTCTTTTTCATAACTTTAACCAGTAGCAAAACATATGGTAACTCACTAGCAACATGGTTAGAACTCCTTTTTTGCAACAACGTTATAAATTCCAACTAATAAAATTTTAATTCATATATCATTAATGGTGGTACTTGCAAGAAAAAGATCATTCAGTCCTCAATTCTGAAGTTGAAATAAAGGATATTCTTTTTATGTTGGCAAGAAAACTCAACATTTGACTATGAAATCCTGCAACTATTTAATAACAACTATCAAACAATTGTGTTTTTGCTCTTTTACTTGTTAAGTTAAAAGAAAAAAAATACTATCCCTGCTTAAATTTGATTTCTAGCAATTTGTTTTTAATTATATCAATGGGTGTTCCAGAGTTCTCTCATTTCATTTTATGATTACTGACTTTGAACTGAAAACGTCACTTGCCAGCACGGAGAGACACAAGTAAACAGTTCAGGGAATTGTGGCTTATTCATCTGGAACAGCACAATCAGGCACAATTACGGCTCTGCTTTGGTACAGTGCAGTATTGGTACAGTGCAGTATAATGGCTCTGCTTTGGTATGGTGCAGTATTGGTACGGTGCAGTATAATGGCTCTGCTTTGGTACGGTGCAGTATAATGGCTCTGCTATAGTACGGTGCAGTATAATGGCTCTGCTTTCATACAGTGCAGGTTAATGGCTCTGCTTTCATACGGTGCAGTATAATGGCTCTGCTTTGGTACAGAGCAGTACCTGGACATCTGTACAGCTTTCTTGCCTGTGCAATATCTCCTTTGCTTAAACGGGTTCGCTGACCAATTGCAGGACGTATGCCATTATCATCACGAGAGGGGAGAATAGTATCCAGAAACATCCCCCTGAAAAAAATCAGAAGCAAGCCACACATAAGTCACCAAATTAAGACACATACATTCCTTACACGTATAAGTATATATAATTATCTTTTTTCGGACTCATGTCAGCTAAAGGGAAAATATATCAGTGTTGAGCTTCAAATAGTGTGCCAGACTTTCAAAACATGTTTATCAAGATAGGGAAAAAAAGTTGTGCTAAATTTTATACCTAGCAAAAGTCAACAAAATAATTTTAAAAATCTAGAATTCTATATAGTCCCCCACCAAATATACCGTGGCTTTTTTTTAGGGTTTTAAGCAAATCTAAGAACTACTTGGATTAGTAAACTGTAAAACAATTTTGCCTCACAGAAGTCTATTTTTTAAGGACAACCTACAATACATATTTTTGAGGTTCCTAAAATTGTAAAAGCCAAAAAGTGTTATTTTTTTAGTTAACTTATGAATTTAACCTATGTATTCTTAGAAGTCCAAGTATTACAGTATGTTAAAAGAACAGGAAAAAACAGCGTATCAAATTTTAGAAAGAACATTTTAAGCAAAATAGTTTTTTGATACACACACACATAGAGACACAAAGAGAATAAAATTTTCATGGTAAAATTAAGAAGAAAAAAACTAGCAATGGCAAAGCCCTAATAATGCTAAGCTAGACATACCAAGTTGTGAGATACCCAAGGTTGTGATACTACCTTTCTCCATCTTCAAAACTAAAAATTCTGAATATAATGCACTAAAGATGTAGTCTTAATTTTGCAATGAATATCAACATTTATAACTCTAAAGGAAGAACTGAGCTTAAAAGTTAAATGGACTGGGAAACTATTCCAGTGGTAAGAAGGATGAGGATTTCAAGAAAAAGAGAAGCTTTCTATAAAAGTATTTGAAATTAATAAATACAATTGTAAAAAAAATGTTTTAAATTAGGATGAAAGGCATGATACTCCTTTCCAAAATTTTAATGAATAAATTGTATTTAGACTACAGGTTAAAAGAACATTTCGTCTCTATCCCTTCCTTTAGGAAATACTTCCTAAGCACTGTTGTAGGTCTGGATTTATAGCCATTAATAAAATGGTTCTCTACGATTCTCACATTTTAATGTAGGGCAAGAGACATTAAACAAAAGATTGAGTACTGAGAGAGTGACAGGTCCTATGGAGAAAAAGAAGTGAAGATGGACATTGATTATCCAGTGATAGGGTAGTTTTTAAATAGAGTGATCAAAGAAAAACTCACATGGAAGTTGACATTTTGGCCAAACATGAAGGAAGTGAGAGTGAAGGCACTGTGAGTAAATGGGATTAGAAACTTCCAGAAAGAAAGAACAGGAAATTCAACTGCTCAGAGATGGGAAGATCCTTAAAGTGTTTGAGTGTCACACAGAGAATGCATATTGCTTGAGATAAAGAGAGGGAGGGGAACTGATGATAACTTATGGGAGTAGACCAGAAAAGTGAGAGGTTGCTCATAATAAGATGCAACTCCAGCTAGGTCAATGCAATTGAAGGAGAAGTTGAGCTATAAAATAGGGTAGTATTGAGAAAAGCCATTCTTCAACTATACTTCACGAATCAACAGATATTTTAAGTAGGTAAGTCCAAATTAATGAAGGGTTACCATTTCTGCAGTACTTCAGTACCAACAAAATATTCATTATTTTCTAGGGGCGCCTGGGTAGCTCAGTTGTTAAGCGTCTGCCCTCAGCTCAGGTCGTGATACTTCAGCTCAGTTTGTTATCCCAGAGTCCTGGGATCAAGTCCCACATCGGGCTCCCTGCTCTGAGGGAAGCCTGCTTTCCCTCTCCCACTCCCCCTGCTTGTGTTCCCTCTTTCGCTGCCTCTCTCTGTCAAATAAATAAATAAATCTTTAAAAAATATTCATTATTTTCTAATTCTAAATCAGATTTGAAAATTTTAAAAGGTTCACTTTTTCCAATTTTTAAAACAGTTCGATTTAAAAAGGTCAAGGACATCTTGACATAGATATATTCAAACTCAGACAATAGAATGACGAATTTTGACTCCTCTCTACTGAGGTACCTTCTCTTCCATTTGGAAGGGGGTAAGTCACGCTTTGTTTTGTTCTTCCTTTGCCGTCAAGAAGTTAACAATTCTCTCCCTCCACTTCCAGGCCTGTTAAGCAATACAGGCTCTTGCTGAATATCCTAGTGAGGCACTATCAATAGTCCAGGGACAGATTACAAAGAGCTTCACTTACTAATCTTCATTTGTTCTACCTACATTAGAAGAGTGAATTAGCTATGCTTCTTTAAGAAACTTTGTAAAATTTTGCAATTCCTTCATTAAAGAAAAATAAGCAATACCAGTTAGCAAGCCTCTACGTTACAAATTACCCATGCATATAAAGACCACATATATCTAGCCCTATTCTTCCTAAAAGTAAGTACCTAAATCTGCTGATGGGCTACATCCATAAAGACAACTGAAACTTTTTATAGACTCCCTGGGTTCAGAAGAAAATATAAAATTTCAAATACTTGCATTAACAGAACGAAGAACAAAAATCACATGTTCATCTAATTAATGTAGAAAAAGCATTTGACAAAATTCAAAGACATTTCATGATAAAAACTTTCAACACACTAGGAATAGAAAGAAACTGTCTCCACATAATAAAGAACATAAATGAAAAGACTACAGCAAACAACATACTCAGTGCTAAAAAACTGAGTTTTTCATCTAAGATCAAGAACAAGGCAGAAATGCCTGCTCTCACTGTTTCTATTCAACATAGTACTGAAAGTTGTAGCCAGAGCAATTAGGCAAGAAAAGAAGTAAAAGACATCTAAATAGGAAAGAGAGAATTAAAACCATCTCTCTTTGCAGATCATGTAATCTTACATGTAGAAAACCCCAGAGTCCACAAAAAAAAAAGTGAGAACTAATAAACAAATTTAGCAAAGTTGTGGAATAAAAATCAACACACAAAAAATCAGTTGTGGTTTCATACAATAGCAATGAACAATCTGAAAAAGAAATTAAGAAAAACAATTCCATTTAAAATAGCAGAAGAATAAAGTACTTAGGAATAAACCCAACCAAAAAAGTGAAAGATTTGTACACTAAAAACTACAAAACATTGCTCAAAGAAATTAGAGAAGACACAAATAAATGGGAAGACATTCCATTTTTTATGGATTAAACAACTTAGTTTGTTAAGATGTCCACGCTACTTAAAATGATCTACAGATCCAGCCACAATCTCTATCAAAATCCCAATGGCATTTATTGCAGAAATTTAAAAAGTCCTAAAATTCTTATGGAATCTCACAGAACCTCAAATAGCCAAAAAACTGTGAAAAAAACAAAGCTGGAGGACTCACACATCCTGATTTCAAAACACATTACTAAGCTAAAGTAATCAAAACAGTGTGATACTGGTATAAAGATAGACCTAGAGACCAATGGAATAGAATAGGAATCTCAGAAATAAACCCTAGTGAATATAGTAAATCATCTTCAACAACGGTGCCAAAACCACTCAATGGGAAAAAAACAATCTATTCAACAAATGATGTTGGGAAAACTGAATATCCATGTGCAAAAGAATGGAGTTAGACAATTATTTAAGCTATGCACAAAAATTAACTCAAAACAGTTTAAGACCTAAACACAAACCCCAAAACTATAAAACTCTTACATGAAAACATAGTGGAAAAGCTTCATGACATTGGATCTGGCAATGATTTCTTGGATATGACACCAAAGCACAATTAACAAAAGCAAAAATAGGTAAGTGGAACTACATTAAAATAAAAAACTACGATGCAGCAAAGATGAAAAAAAAAAGAAAATATTTGCAAATAACATATGTAAGAAGGAGACAGAATATATACAGAAATACTACAATTCACCAACAAAAAAATTAAATAATCTGACTTTAAAATGGGCAAAAGAATTAAATAGATATTTCTCCAAAGATGATACACAAATGGCCAGAAAGCACATGAAAAGATGTTCAACATCATTAATCAGAGAATGCAAATCAAAACCACAATAAAACATCATGTCATACCCATTAGGATGGCTACTATTTAAAAAAAAAGGGGGGGGGAAGAAATAGAAAGTAATACATGTTGGTAAGGATATGGAATAATTGGAACCCTTGTGCACTGCTGTGGGATTTTGAAATGGCGCAGCTACTACAGAAAACATCATGGCGTTTCTTCAAAAAATTAAAAATAGAACTACCATATGGTCTGGCAATCCCACTTCTGGGTATCTATGTAAAATAATTGAAAACAGGGTCTGGGAAAGATATTTGCATACCCATATTCATAGCAGCACTATACACAATAGCCAACAAATGGAAGCAACTCAAATGCCCATCAGTGGATGAATGGATAAACAAAATATGTTCTGTACCTACAATGGTATATTATTCAGCCTTAAAACAAGGAAATCCTGGGTCACATGCTGCAACATGCATAAACCTTAACAACACTGTGCTAAGTGAAATAAGCCAAGCACAAAAAGACAAATACTGTACGGTTCTATTTAAAGAGGTATCTAAAATATCTAAATCCAAATTCACAGAAACACAAAGTAGAATAGTAGTTACCAGGGGCTGCCAAGAGGGGAAAATGGGGCACTGTTGTTTAATGGGCATGGGCATAGGGTTTCAGTTTTGCAAGATGAAAAAGTGAGTATCTGTTTCACAATCATGTGAATATACTTAACATTACTAAACTGTACACCGAGAAATAGTTAAGATTATAAATTTTATGTTGTGTGTCTCTAACCACACATGCACATACACACACAAAACTTCAAATACTTTGGAGGTGGTGGCTAAGAACTGTGCTAAATATTTTATCTCTTGGAATTCAGTTATTTAAATATATGTATGAGTTAATAAACCTTCTCTTTAAAGATCAAAACAATAAAATAATGTTGGTTGGATCAATTCTTCTAACAGGTAGGTAGAATTACTTTCACTCTAAGAATATAAGTTCATTAGGAAAACCGAATAGGATAATTTTGAAACAATAAGACAAAATAATAGGTCAAGGCTGCTTGGCATGCAGCACCATGGTGTGGGGGGTAGGGATGATGGACTGCAGGTAGTAAGAGTAGAATGATTTATGGAAAAGAAGGAAAGGAAAAAATTTAAACATGTAAAAGAAATACAGAGTAAGGGGAAATATATATTTTAAATTTTGGTATATATTCATCATCTATCAAAGACAGAAAGAATGAATTATTTTCTCTACGTTCCACTACCTCCTATGTTCCAAAGAATCAAAAGTCAGTTTAGTTCTAAGTAATTCAGTAGTATATGAGAGGTGCCTTGGCTGAACTGGGACCCAAATCCCATTTGTTACATGTTTCTACAGAAAATTTAATTCCAAGCACTGACCTAAAAATAAAGTTTTATAGCTCTTTGAGATTAATTTCAGGCCAAATTTATGGATGTATTTCTACCAAAACTTAAATTCAAATTCCAGAAACAATAAGTATTTGGGTGGTTATTATATTTAAGCAAATATATATGCACTTCAGTAGAAAATAATTATTAAATATCATTAATAATTATATTAAAATACAATTAACACTCAATTTTTTAAATAATAGTTTTGTCTTTCAAAAAGGATAATTGAAAAATGTATCCAAGTATTAAGAGTTCTTTGAGACATTTTTCTTTACTTTTTATCAGGAAATTTTTTAGGGGGCACCTGGCTTGCTCAGTCAGTAGAGCATGTGACTCTTCATCTCAGGGTTGTAGGTTCAAGCCCCACTGTGGGTGTAGAGATTACTTAAAAAAATAATAAAATCTTTTTTTAAAAATGTTTTAAAAAAGGAGGGGTTTTAATTTGATGTTTTTTAATCTTCTTTCCACCCCTGCCTTTAGAAACAGATGTTTGATGAACTGTGAAATGGACATAAGTGGGCAAAAAGATTGAGTTGGAATGGACAAGAGGGTAAAATAGGCATAAAAATGGACAGGGGATGACTTCAATGGTTTGACAGATCCAAATTCTTTACCTGGGAACTATTTGCTTGATGACATCATCTTTAGAATAAAGTAACTGAAACCCAAATTTATTATGTTCTTTAAAAATAGCATAAACTTTTAATAAAATGACTTTAAGGTTAATAAGTTGTGAAATTTTAAATTATATGAAGTAAAATATCTTCATAATATATTCTTTGAGAATTAAATTAGCATAACTAGTACTTGAGCAATAGAAGATACAGAGTAGAAAACACAAGTCACATAGACAGTAGACATTCCAACTCAACAACCAAGTACCCTATTTGATTTGTGAATGCCTAATTTTCATTAAATAATGCTAAGTTAATTTAATATGCTGATCATTTAATAATCATTTTAGTTGGACTTTTTAAAGTGATTTATGAATGTAAAATAGTTTAAATAATTCATACCATTTTAATTTTTACTCTGAATTTATGTATCTGATAGGAAATGTGAAAATATGTTTTTAAAATTTCAAATGCTAGTGTTGGCTATAAATACCAATCAAGTATTTTTCTACTTAATGGCAACAGTATTTGAATGTGGTTCTAGTTCCAATGTTAAACATAGCTTTGTGAGGAGCAACACAGAGGAAAGGAATTAAAAGTCAAAAGGTATAACCTGAGACTCCAACCTTGAGAAGGTGTTCCTGGCATAGTGCATGATACTGTCAAAGTCGTATCTTTCTCCAAGTGAGTTCACTTCTCCAGGCTCCATCTTCAGAAAATTGTACTCTTGACCTAAGAATCAGTCACAAATATTTCAGCAACCTTTTAACAGACAGAGAAAAGAGAAGAGCCCCTCCTAGGTGTGCATCTGCTCTTTAAAAAAAAAAAAAAAAAAAAGATTTTATTTATTTATTTGACAGAGAGATAGAGAGAGCACAAGTAGGCAGAGTGGCAGGCAGAGGGAGAGGGAGAAGCAGGCTCTCCACTGAGCAGGGAGCCAGACGTGGGGCTCGATCCCAGGACCCCAGGATCATGACCTGAGCAGAACGCAGACACTTAACCGACTGAGCCACCCAGGCACCCCATCATCATCTGCTCTTGACTAAAGGCTGGTTACAGCTATATACCAATACCCACCTATGTGCAAAAGTATGCATCCAGTGCTACTGTTTTCACTTCATATCACATTGAAAAAGTAATACTGAATTTGATTAATAAGTTAATTTTCAAAAAAGAGCTGTATTACAACAAGCACACTTTGGGTTGTTTTCCATGTGTACATTTTACATTCTTATAATATTTGTTTCTCTAAAATCTCACTGCTTTTTTCAGTACTGCAGGAATGATCATAAAATGTTGTATTATTACCTAATGCGTCCCCACTTTTCTCTTATGACTACATTTGTCAAGATCAACAAAAATCATCCTTCTATTTGCTTTAGAGTCTTTCTATGAAACACTGAGAAAAATACAAAAGCAGTATTTGTACGTACACACAAGACTGCAGGTTTTGGTCATGTGACTTTGTCACTAAAGGTAAAACACCAGCAGCAGAGTTCATTCAGAATGGAAACAAGATTCTCTCTGATGAATCAATTCCAACCTCTACTTGGAGGTCTTTTTGTCTTTTTTTTTTTTTTCCTTTTTGGAGGGCTTTTTGATCAAGAAGAATGTGCTTCAGAACTTAACAATTTATTTATTTTTGTTTTACTTTTCACAACTGTCATTTTAACTTCTGGACATTTTCATTTTAATGGGTTTCTCAACTGGCTATTTATAATTGTATTGCTATACTGTTTCTTGAAATCTGAAAATAACAGACTTCTCTATGTAGATCTATGGCAATGGTTCCAGAAACAGAGAATTCCCTCAGAATTCAGGCCTCAGTGACTCTGTTTTCACAACCTTAGTAGCTGAAGATGGCTGCTTTTATGTAACTTCAAAAGTTTTGAAAGATCCAAATGTAAAGCTGAGTTCTCAGAATTTCAAATTCAAGGTTACAATTCAGAATGGAACTATTACAACACTCATCTAAGTTTTTATTCCAACTGCCATATGACTATGAAAAATATAAATATTACATTAATGAAAATTTTCCAAAAGACAATAAAGAAATTGAGTGACACCAGAACATAATATCTCTGTAAGAAGGAAATCCAGTATACTCACTTGAGCATTAAGGATTAAAGAATCATCTTTAAGTTACAGAACCTAAGTCCCAGGCTAAAGTGTTTCAGTCTGGGCACCTCGGTGGCTCAGTTGGTTGAGCGACTGCCTTCGGCTCAGGTCATGATCCTGGAGTCCTGAGATGGAGTCCTGCATCGGGCTCCCTGCTCAGCAGGGAGTCTGCTTCTCCCTCTGACCCTCCCCCCTCTCATGTGCTCTCTCTCTCTCATTCTTTCTCTCCCAAATAAATAAATAAAATCTTTAAAAATAAACAAATAAATAAAATAAAGTGTTTTAGTCTATCTTCAATGACCTCACACATTAATGAACTAACCAGCCTGTATGGTGTAGTATGTGCTCCCCAAATCTCTGATGTATCTATCTGTAATATAAGCATTTTCAGGAAAAACCCTGCATTCCTGCCAACCTCTCTTAGAAGGAACTGTTACAACTTGCTTCTTCATAAGGAAGAATAAGTATATTTCAACATATCTAGTTCTAAGGTGAGATTTTTATAAAGCTATGGAGCTGATTTTATAGACATTTATCTATAACCCACTGGAGATTTCAACTTCAAGCACAATATGGGAAGATACTCTCTAGTTAAAGCAAAATGCTTTATAAAAATTTCCCAAAGTGGAACATTGAACAATTTCAGTCATACATTTTGAGGCCTTAACATGTAGATGACTCAGTGTTTGGTGCTAAGTAAAAACAATATGACCATACATGGTCCAAATAAAGAAAATTGAACTTATTTCATGAAAAGAAGGAAGAGGGTCAGAGATAGAGAGCACCAGGGGAACTTACCCTAAATAATTAAAAAAAAAAAGATGATAAGCCTTCTCCTTAAAAGAGTATTCTAAAATGGATTAAAGTAATCCAATCTTTAACCAATTTGGTTCCTACTGTAGTTACTAATTTTGCATATAAATGTGAGGCTAAAGTCTGCACATTAGACATTGCCCTTGAATAACAGTTGATCTAAAGTTTCTGAGCCAGAGCAAGTCATAAATTTGTTGAAGATTAATCTCCAAGATGACATGACCTCTTTCATACCAGAATTGCCCTGTGACAGTAGTTCCAATACTTAGGAAATCTCACACAATAAATTCTTTCTTTTCTATTGGTCTAAATGCTGAGTCACCCAAGGTATGCATAGTCATAACTGCTAAGCACCGTGTTAAGTATTATATATTTATATACTAATATATTTCTTGCTTAAGTACATATTTATGTTAAAATGGAGTCCTATTATTAAGAGTAAGAATCATTTTTGAAGGTTACTTCCTTTATAAGATGTTTCCTCCATGTAATAAAAGAAACCTAATAACTATGGTTAACAGCAAACTTCTACTCATTTTACTGGTAGTTGAAATCATTTTCAGAAATATTATTTCCTCTTTATTTCTTTCCTAATGATATAAAGTAAGATGAACTTTGATAGCTGGCTCAGGCATTTGAGTCTCCTATATTGGGAGTAAACATTTTCTGTACTTCTCTTTGATAATCAACACTACAAATGATTTCATCATTTTTTAAACTGAAATACAATTGACATACAATACCATATTAGTTTCATGTGTACAACACAGTGATTAGACACTTGTATACAGTGCAAACTGATCACCACAATAATAAATCTAATTATCCTATATCACCACGCAAAGTTAACAAAACGTTGACTGAATTCCCTATGCTGTACATCACATGTCCATGACTTACTTATTTTATAACTGGAAGTTTGTACTTCTTGATCCTGTTCACCTATTTCATATTACCAAATCCCCTCCCCTCTGGCACCACCACTCTGTTCTCTGTATTTATGAGTCTCAGTTTTATTTTGGTTTATGTGTTTGTTTGTTTGTTTGTTTTAGTTTGCCCTTAGAACTGAAATCATGTGGCATTTGTCTTTCTCTGGCTGACTTATTTCACTTAACATAATATCCTCAAGGCAAGACTTCAGTCTTTTTTCATGACTAATATACCATTGTGTGTGTGTGTGTGTGTGTGTGTGTGATGTCTTCTTTATCCATTCATTTATTTTTTTAAGATTTTATTTATTTATTTGAGAGAGAGCGAGAGAGAATGAGAGGAGGAGGGGCAGAGGGAGAAGCAGGCTCTCCGCTGAGCTGGGAGCCAGATGTGGGGCTTGATCACAGGACCTGGAGATCACGACCTGAGCTGAAGGCAGACGCTTACCCATCTGAGCCACCCAGGCACCCCTTTATCCATTCATGTATTGATGGATACTTAGGTTGTTTTCCTATCTTAACTATCGCTGAGAATGCTGCAATGAATATAGGGATGAATAAATTCTCTTGAATGGTGTTTTTGTTTTCTTTGGATAGATAACAAGAAGTAGAATTGCTGGATCATACGGTGGTTCTATTTTTAGTTTATTGAAGAACTTCCATACTACTTTCTATAGTGGCTGCACCAGTGCATGAGGGTTCCCTTTTCTTCACATCTTTGCCAAGACTTGTTATCTCTTGTCTTTTTGATGAAAGCCATTTAACAGGAGTGAGGTGATAGATATATGATTGTGGTTTTGATTTGCATTTCCCTGCATTAATTATTGATGATTAATGATGCTGAGCATCTTCATGTGCCTGTTGCCCATCTGTATGTCTTCTTCAGGAAAATGTCTCTTCAGAACCTCTGTCAATTTTTTAATCAGATTATATTTTTGCTATTAATTTGTATGAGTTCTTTATATATTTTGGATATTAACCTCTTATCAGATATATGATTTGCAAATGTCTTATCACATTCAGCAAGTTGCCTTTCATTTCACTCATGGTTTCTCTCACTATGCAAAAGCTTTTTTAGTTTGATGTAGATCCATTTATTTTTCCTTTTGTTACCCCTGCATTTGGAATCAGATCCAAAAACAAACAAACAAGAAAACCAACAACAACAAAAAAAAATAGCACTAAGCCTAATATCAAGGAGCTTACTGCCAATGTTTTTATCTAGGAATTTTATGGTTTCCAGTCCTACATTTGCCTTTAATCATTTTGAGTTAATTCTTGTGTATAGTGTAATAAAGTGGTCTAGTTTCATTCTTTCGTATGTAGCTGTTCAGTATTCCTAACACCATTTATTGAAGAGACTATCCTTTCCTCACTGTATATTTGTGCTCCTTTTGCGGTAGATTAATTGCCTATATATATATATACATATATGTATATATATAGGTTTATTTCTGGGCTCTCTATTCTGTTTCATTGATCTATGAGGCTGTTTATAAGCCAATAGTATATTGTTTTGATTACCACAGTTTTGTAGTATAGTTTGAAATCAAGGAGTGTGATACTTCAGGCTGTTTTTCTTTCTCAAGGTTGCTTTGTTTATTCGGGTTCTATTGTGACTTTTTAGAAATTTTAGAATTATTTGTTCTAGGTCTGTGAAAAATGCCATTAAAATTTTGGTAGGGATTGCACTGAATCTGTATATTATTTTGGGTAGTACGGATATTAACAATATTAATTCTCCTAATCCATGAACATGGAATATGTTTTTACTTATCTGTATTTTCTTCAATTTCTTTCATTAGTGTTTTATAGTTTTCAGTCTACAGGTCTTTCACCTCCTTAGTTAAATTTATTACAAGGTATTTTATA